GATACCTCATTTTACATGGCTGCTTGTTGAAGACAAGCCTTTAAGACTTGAGATGCTATCCTTTCTAAGAGGCAGGCATTATCTTCTTTCTTCTCCCTGATTTGCTACAGCACCCCTATCTTCAGTGATCACTTCACAGGGATAGGTTTTGATCAGGGCCATGTCATAAAAACTAATTGTTCTTAGATTGGGGCCACATTTAAGTATGAGCCCAACATCTACCACTATATCTATGGTTTTTATATGTTTCTGGTTCACTTGAAAGGTATTGTTGTTGTTTTATTGAAGGACATTATAAACTATCTCCCGGTGGGGGGAAGGGGGAGTTCAATATTAATATTGCCATTAATTTAGATCCTGATTTAGAATTTTAAACATTGTCGTAGCTTCCATGCTGGACTGATAACAGTAAAGTCAGTGGTTCAAAATCATCAGCCACTCCTCAGGAGAAAGATGAGTCTTTCTACTCCAGTAAAGAGATACAATTTCCAAGATCCACAGGAGCAGTTCTACCCTGTTCCGTAGTGCATTACCAGTCGTAATTGACTCGATGGCAGGGAAAGAGTTGAGAAAAAGAAAACATAAATGTATAAGACAGTTTTTAGACCAAAATACAGATTAACAATTTAGGTGGCTGGACACTATTTACACTTAGAATGAGGGCTGGAGATAGGGCAAAACTTTCATTAATGTAAGTGTATTCATTCGCAAAGGCAAAAAGCGTATGAAAATAGCACCTATACAGTAGTCTTGAATTGATGGCAACCGTTTTTGGTTTTAGGTATCTGTGCATAACATACAAGGCCAAACTCCCTTAGCCTCAGATGGGCCCAAGCTGTGGCTGCCATTCTGCTCAGGAGAGCCCTCTCCTCAGGTATTTATCAAATCTTTGCAGAGTACATGTGCCATTCTCACTGCCAAAGGCACACCCCAGGCCTCTTTTTCAGTCAGGGCCTACAGAGCCTTCAGAAAGCTCTCTCTGGCCCACCAGCTCTTTTGGTCTCACAATAAATTAATATGACATTTTTACTGAGACCCCCACTATATGCTGTGTGAGTGACTGACTCTATAAACCCTTTCATTCTAATCAAGGGAGGCAGGCAGTAGACCAAATTTTTAAAAAGTAAATTATATTGTGAGTTAGAAGTATAAATTCTCTGACAAAAAAAAATAAAGCAGGGAAAGAGATGTAGAGTTCTATTATCTCTGAACTGCATTACTATTGGAGCCTCCTAAGCAATCTCTCTAATTCTATCATCCCACATGATCTGTTCTCACAGCAACATACAGGATTCTGTTAAATTCTGAGTCAGATCCTGTTGCTCCTCTACTCAAAATCCTGTGACTCCCATCTCAGTCAGAGTAAAAATCAAAGTCTTGCCTATGGCTTCCATGAGCTGGCTTCATCACTGCTCTGACCTTAGCCCCACCACTATTTCTCCCCTCACTCATTCTGTTCCATTCACACTGGCCCGCTGGCTCTTTCTCAGATGCACCATATACCTATAGTCCCACCTCAGGGCTTTTGCTCATTCCCTCTGCCTGAACGTTTCTTCCCTTAGGTAAGACACACAACTTCCGCACTCTCTTCTTGAGGCCTTTGCGAAGATGACACTTCCTCTCTGAAGTCTTCTCTATCCACTCCTATCTAAAATTGCAACACCATTTCCACCCCAATCATTTCCTAGCTCCCTTCCAGGCTTTGCTTTTATTCTTGGAGACTTATCATTCTCTGACATACATTATCTATGCCTCCTCTTTATTACCTAGAATATAAGCTCGACAAGGCAGATATTTAAAAAAAATTAATCGTTTTATTAGGGGCTCATACAATTATCACAATCCATACATACATCAGTTGTGTAAAACACATTTGTACATTCGTTGTCCTCA